GCTTGTCTGCCACTCAGGCTTGGGGAGCAGCTGTGGCAGCCTGAGGGGCCAGGCAGACAACATGAGTACACAAACACTCAAATACGAGTGGAACAGTGTTTGAATGCCACGCGACCTCCAGCATCATCAGGCATTAGTATCCCCCCCCCCCCCACTGATGCTGAATGTGATGCTGCTCAGTTGTGTCAAGAAAAAAAAACGGGCAAGTAATGATGACTAATGACATTAACAAAACGTCACATGAGCCACCGGTGCGTAGATATTCAGTTCTCAAAGGAGACCAGCATCCCGTTGGGTCAATTAGGCTCCAAGGGAAGGCTTTTGTGCTCTATTTGAGTAAAATCCCTGTGTGCATCGTTAGCCATGGCCCACCCTGAAACGATGTTAATTGACGGATAGATGAACAGATGGGATGCCTTACTTTTCATCTATAGTTTGCCTTCGACAGTCCGAATGAGTTCGTTTCTCAACTTGGTCCAATGGCCTGCTGGTTTGGAACCAAAATTCCTTGAATGAAGTGATTGCTTTCATCTTCTATTTGTTGCAAGATTGTAAGCAGGAACGTTCGGCAGGCCCCCGCTCGCTCCCCATCTTTAACACTGGCCTTAAAATTCATTTATATTCTTCGGCTATGACTCAGCATGAGACTTGATTTTAGTTGGACTCTTTTTGTGCTTTCCACTGTCTTCATTATTAATTTATTGTTTGTATGAATTCTTTTTGCTTCATGTATAGCACTTTGTATACAGCGGTGGTGGTTTTAAAGTGCTCTATAAATACGGCTGAGTTGAGTTGACTATTTTGTGTTCGCTAAGCTAAATATGGCTATCCTTGTTTGTTTGTCTCATCATCAGCCAATCAGAAAATCCCACAGATAAGGATGTTTTGTTGCTATGGGACAAGATGTAAAGAGCATTCAGACAGGTGTCCATCAAGACACCGAGTGGGGCGAAAGGGAACCTATTCCTCGAGTGGAACAACGGATACACAGGGAGATTTAATCACGTAACTTTGCTCGCCGCCGTTGATTGAAAACTCTGCCAAGCAGTCAAGAAATTTCGTTGGTTAGTGGGTGAATGTGTTATGTCAGAAAAGGCTCAGGAAAAGTAGGCCAACTCATTCCTACAATAGGTTTATTTTCCATTATTATGTGAATCTAAGTGATATAATAATAATAATAATAATAGGCAAACGGCTCTACACTGCCCCTTGCCACTCTATCAGAGCAAAGAGTGTTGAGGCAGCAAATGCAGTGTATTGACGTTTTGTGTTAATGGGACAAACCAGGCGGTGGAGCAGCTCAATTACGTCGGACAAAAGTCCAACTGTTATGTAATCCTTTACCCGATTTAGAAGAAATTCCGCTGGCCATGTTACAAGTATGAAAATGGTACTGCCAGCCAGGCATTGGATGTTAAAGAGGTATTCAGTGTTGGCTGGAGCGCAGGAATACTTCCTGCCTTTAGACTCTAGCTGTCAATGTTTCACCAGCAAACCTCTACATATTCTGCTGACTCCGAGTGTCTTGAGAAGAGGGTTTCTACTGGTCCAACATCAAAGCACCAGAGTAAAAAATGTCTGACATTGGACTAAACAGCTGTCAGAGCTCATTTCCAAGGCTAATGTGACACTTCTACACTGAACGTTGTGAAAATCATCTTCGGCATTTGTTCTATTTAAATACAGTTTTAAGCCTGTGAGGACAGACTGATATTTCGCCGGCGAGAAATGCAAGTGACAACACAACATGCCAATTAGAGTTTGTTGAATGGAAGCAAACGGAAACACTCACCAATGCCGTAGGCTTTAGCAAATAGCCACCGCAGGTTGGCAGCTATTTTGGCTCTGGCAGAGTCATACATCTCCATGGGGATGACATCCATGGTGCCTTCTGCAGATCCAGTCAAGCCTACCTTCCTTCTTGTACTGTCCCCGGCACCCAAATCAACATCCATCCTTTGGGAGTAAAACAATGTTATTAGTTATGCTGGACATATGTCATTATGCAAGTACTAGTTTTTTAATTGTATTTAAATGTAAATGTTCTAACTGTGCATAATGTTACAGCCATCCCACTACATTCTAACATTGGTTATGATGGTGATCCTAGGGGGGCAGAGTATTTATTATTATTATTATTATTATTATTATTATTTATTTTTTTTAGGTGGCAGGCCAAGTTGTGTCAAAAAAACAAGAAACAGTGTAAAGTCTCAAGAAAGTCTACAAATCTACCTGTAAAAAGTGGAGGACAGTAGAACAAATCATTGGAAACGTTGTGAAGCAGTGCAACGTTTCTTTAGGCACACTGGCCCGAATTTAAGATCACACCAGAGTCCCACAATCGTCTAACCAAGTTCCATTACCTGTAGCGCAAACACAACCCAGCGTGAATGTTACCATGAACGGCCCAATGCTAGCTTGACGGGCAGGCTGTCATTGCCACAGAACTAATTCAACTTTGCTTATAAGCATTTGTACTTCACGGTGAATTCTGAAATGTGGATGTGGATCTATCCATTTACCGACGACACAGCAATTAGCTAGCAACCCAATTGGCTAAACAGGCATGCATGCAAATGTACGGCTAACTAACCAAGCTAACTACGTTAGCGTGTACTATATTACGAAAAGGTAGCTTCATTTTACCTTCAAATATGTAGCTCCAAGTCACCCTTCGATCCAAACGGGGTTAATAATCAACCAAGAACCCGCCTTGCTTTCCAGTGGACCGCTGCGTAGAAAAGCCCCCGCCGCCTGCAGCACATCGTAGCCGCTAGCTAATGGTGCTAACAGGGGAGGCGAGTCAGAATGGTCTCCCAGCAACAACAGCCCATTCGCGGCCTGACTGACAGCGACCCCGCGGTAAATATGTACGATGAAAAACAACCGCAAAGCAGGTCAAACAGAGGCGCGACCAACAACGGGCCCCGTGTGCTCAAAATCTGCGATGTGAAAGACGACGGCGCATAATTTGAACACCGGGGCAAGGAATAACAAGCAGTGAACCAGCAGGGCGTTCGCGCTCTGCCACCGGAAAAAAAAAAAAAAAAAAAAAAAAAAAAGTTATCATACTGCTTACTGCGCATGCGTGATTACTCAAACGGACTCAAACTCATCCATCATATCACGATTATGTTACATTAGTTTCATGTGCTAGCTTGTATTCGTGTATATGACCTGTTTTCATGCAGTCATCGAAGACAAATTTGTTCCACAGTCACATCATCAACTGGCACAACACAAAACCTGTGTTAACTCCACAAGCAGTGTTCCAAGTAAAATTGTAGCATTCTTAACCCCCATACTGTAAAAATAAGTTAACCCCTATGTAATGGAACAAAAATAGAACACGCAATGATGTGGGAACGGGAAGGTGATTAGACAGCAATGCTGTCACCTAGTGGCCTATGGTAGAACAATTTTACACCATAAGAGTTTTCGGTTACATTGTATTAATATGTAAACAGAAGTGAGCAAACAATTGAAGTAAAATGCCCCTCCACAGTTATTGTGTGTCTATATATATATATATATATATATATAATATATACAGTATTATATATATATATATATACACATATTTCTTATGCCACTCAATAGAGTTCAAAGAGCAAGCAAAAAAAAAAAAAAAGCACCTCAACTTTTTTTTATGTGAGTAAAAAACAACAAAGTGTGTCACCAGACTCAAAAATAACTGCAGTGAAGGACAGTAGAAGAACCTTTGGAATTAAATGTCAGGGTTGGTCAACTGATGGTCATGACCTCTTTATGTGCAAAAACAGAAAACGTCGCACATTAAACCACATTTCTGGCACCACTTAGTCCTACAACATTTCTTCACTGTGCAGACGGCACATTTTAAGTCTTTCCTGTCATACACACGGGACAGTAGTTCAGCTGTATCGTCCGAGCATACAGACGCTACACACAAACACTCCAAAGAGAATTGATGTTTTATTCATTTCCACTTTTGATCATTTTCTTCTGCCAAAAATTCACTAAATGTCCTGATTATATACTGTATAGTATTACACAAATATCATTGTTGTTGTAGAGGAGTCAATGAGCGATGCCATTGTTCTGTCACTTTCCTACTAAACCCATAAATGGACATTCAGTAGACAGGTCATTCTTTTTGAACACTTTGTATTCACATGCCGCTTTGTCAAGCACAGCTACGCAGTCATCAGGGACGCCTGTGGGAACGCCGTACCTGCAAATAAGCAGTGCGCCCAAAATAAACAACTGCATTCTTTTTTTACAGCGATAAAAACACAAAAAGGAAAACGTGCGATGCTTTAACTTACGCGGAGCAACAACCGCTGCAGGAACAATCCATGCATTCACTGTTCCTCCAAGTTGTTCCCAGCGGGTGCCATCGATTGTCACCCGGATCCAGGCATTGTGCTGCACCTACACATGGGTAGAAAGACTTATGACGACACTTTATTTTTTTCACTGTTGATTGAGAACACATTGGAAAATAATTTCAGTCACTTTGTGAAAACAGAGCAATAAAGATTTCCAGTCCTGTCTTTACCTTCTTCCACTTGAATTTGATAGCAGTGGCCGTTTGCCAGTGACAGCACTGCACACAGCACTAAAGCCAAACACAGGTATATCCTCTAAGGGAAAAGGGGGGGAAAAATGGAGATATATATTTTTTTCCATTTGTTAAGATTTTAAGAAGAGCGTTGCTGCCATTTACAGTTCACACAAATCAAACTCACCATTTCTGCAAGAAGTTTCATGAAACCGAAGAAAGGCTCGGGTCACAAAAGTGCAGGACAGCTGAAGATTTATAAAGGGCAAAGTCGGGGGGTGTTTCTGGTCACCACCTCTTTATGTCAATAAAGGCATCACTAACTGGGACGCATGTTTGGCAATCACATATTACGGGATTCCAAAAAAAAAAAAAAAAGAATCAAAGTTCCTTTGGCAAAACTTTATTCTGCAAGCAACTTGTCAACATAGCATTCAGGCAGTTGAACATTTATATATAATCCTCTCGTAATGTGATTCCAGACTAGGTGTCACCATTTTAAAGACTTCAGAAAGGGGGAAAAGATCACACACACACACACACACACACCCACACACACACACATGCAGGAAAGAGAAGTCACTACAAACGCCATCAAGAGAAGTATTCACTTTGCCAGCTCGCCAGGCAGGCGTGAAGAGGATTTGACACTCAGTAAATCTTCAGCAAAATACTTCCTCGAAATACTTCCTGTACTGACTCTTCTTTTTTCAAATTTACAGTGCCAAAACGAATGGTGTCTCACCATCTAGTGGCCGGCAGGGAAATTACACACAAACTAAATCGGAGGTATAACAAAATAGTATAAATTGTAAACCACCCCCCCACCACACCCCACACAATTTCCCCAAAAAAAATCCATGAAATAGAGGAGCCACCAAATCTGGAACTCGTCTTACCCACATATTTGAGCATTTGTATTGATTTATTTTTCCTCTTCGCAAGGAGGCGAGGCTCAGCCTCAACTGACCTCATGTCCCTGTTTAACTGTTGCAAATGTTATAACAGTGGCACCTGGCATATTGACGGTATGCTCGGGCCATCTACCTGGTATTGACCTTTTCAAAATCCTTCCTGCCCCAAAAAATATCACCCAAGTTTTGTTTTGCTGATTGATTGTTGTTGTTTTACTTTTAAACATGTCTGACACATCACAGAATTGTCCTTAAAAAAACACACACACAAACACACACATCAGTCCGATCCTCACCAATTCACCTAACAAAACGTGGAGTTTGTGAGTAAAATAAAAGCAGGGTTGATTGAAGTTGGCTGCATGCAGCTTTTATTTGTTCATGACCTTCAAACTTGACCTTCCCATCAAACAATACAAAATGCATGTAGTCGAACACTGAGGTGGCAAACATGACATGCGGGCTGCTGACACGTAAACAACATGCATGTTCCGTTCATATCAGAAAGACGGCGTATCAAATGGCGGTTTCGACAATGGCTAACAGGGACACTTATTTGTTCTTGGCAATCTTGGATATGTTAAAAAAACCCTGCTGTTGGTTTAAAATCCTTTGAACATGCCCCTTGGAAGACTGTGGAGAGAAAGAGAAGCACACGTGATGTGGATCACTGTGAAATGTTGGGAGGATTTCAATTCTTCAGGTCCCAGGTCCCCAAACCTGTTAAAATGGACCCGCAGACAAAGTTGCCCCCCCCCCCCCAAAAACCAAGAGAAAAAAAGTTTTAAAATAAAGAAAAAAAAATCACATGCATGATTGCATGTTTGTTGTTGTTCGTATTTTCCCACAAAGGAAACAAAATGTGTGAAATGTTTCACAAAAGATGAAAAAAATGAACCGGTTTCTTGAAAATCATAACATTAATTTACTTGTCACTTTTTTGACTGACTAATTGGTTGATTATCCTGAAATGAATTATGGATAATACAATTAAAAATGCGACTTGAGATTTGTTTCTTATTCATCCATCCCAGACTTGCCGTTCCTCAACCACTTAGTCTTACCTACAACATTTCTTCACAGTGCAGACGGCACATTTTGACATTCTTTCCTGTCATACACACGGGACAGTAGTTCAGCTGTATCGTCCGAGCATACAGACGCTACACACAAACACTCCAAAGAGAATTGATGTTTTATTCATTTCCACTTTTGATCATTTTCTTCCGCCAAAATTTCACTAAATGGCCTCGATTATATATAGTGTGACAAATATTGTTGTTGTCGAGGAGTCAGTGAGCGATGCCGTTGTTCTGTCACTTTCCTATGAAACTCTCCTATGGACGTTCAAGAGACAGGTTATTCTTTTTGAGCAGTATGTATTCACATGCGTCTTTGTCAAGCACAGCTACGAAGTCAGGAGGGACGTCAGGGACAGCGGCGCTGGACCTGCAAATAAGCAGTGCGCCCAAAATAAACAACTGCATTTTTTTTTTTACAGAGATAAAAACACAAAAAGGAAAACGTACGATGCTTCAACTTACACAAGGCAACAACCGCTGCAGGAACAATCCATGCATTCACTGTTCCTCCAAGTTGTTCCCTGCGGGTGCCATTGATTGTCAGTTGGATCCAGGCATTGTCCTGCACCTACACATGGGTAGAAAGAATTATGACGACATTTTATTTTTTCACAGTTGATTGAGAAGATATTGCAAAAGAATTTCAGTCACTTCGTGAAAACAGAGCAATAAAGATTTCCAGTCCTGTCTTTACCTTCTTCCACTTGAATTTGATAGCAGTGGCCGTTTGCCAGTGACAGCACTGCACACAGCACTAAAGCCAAACACAGGTATGTCCTCTAAGGGAAAAGGGGGGAAAAAAATGAAGATATTTTTTTTCCCATTTGTTAAGATGTTAAGAAAGAGCGTTGCTGCCATTTACGGTTCACACAAATCAAACTCACCATTGCTGCAAGAAGTTTCATGAAACCGGAGAGAGGCTCGGGTCACAAAAGTGCAGGACAGCTGAAGATTTATAAAGGGCAAAGTCGGGGGGTGTTTCTGGTCACCACCTCTTTATGTCAATAAAGGCATCACTAACTGGGACGCATGTTTGGCAATCACATATTACGGGATTACAAAAAAAAAAAAAGAATCAAAGTTCCTTTGGCAAAACTTTATTCTGCAAGCTACTTGTCAACATAGCATTCAGGCAGTTGAACATTTACATATAATCCTCGAGTAACGTGATTCCAGACTCTTGAGAATATCTCTCTTTCTCTCTCTTTATATAAAGAGAGAGAGAGAGAGAGAGAGAGAGAGAGAGAGAGAGAGAGAGAGAGAGAGAGAGAGAGAGAGAGGGAGAGAGAGAGAGAGAGAGAGAGAGAAAATCTTTGAAAATTTGGAATGATCCTAAATTTTGGCACCGTATTATCCTTGTTGACATTTTACAAATTGGATCAATCTGTCATGCTTCTGTTTGTGACCAACAGGTGGCACTGTAGGGCTCCACCTGCAGCGGCACACCTGTTGGTCATTAGTTTTGTATAAAACGACCCCCGGCCCGACCACTCATCGTGTACCACTCTTCAAGTACAACCTGCTCCTCCCTCCTGCCTCCTTTTTGGGGTTCAACACCACCTCGCTCCGTGACAAGATCAAAATTATATAAACTAGCCTTACTTACGCAAACTTACATCAGATATGTCCACTAAACAAACTTGTCATTTCACCAGAAGCATCAACAATCACGCCCAAAGAGGTGCATTATAACATAAAAGCTGTCCCTTTCCATAGGCGTAAAAGGCAGGCTGGAAGAGGATTTGACAATCAGTAAACCTTCAGCAAAAATTTGGCGGGGTTGCAAATGTGATAACAGTGGTACCTGGCATATTGATGGTACGGCTTGTGCCGAACGACGCTAGGGCCATTCAACCGGAATTGCCCTTTTTACCCCCCCCCCCAAAAAAATAAAAATCAGCCAATTTTTATTTTGCTGATTGTTGTTGTTTTACTTTTAAACATATCTGACAGATATCGGAACCGGCCTTATAAAAATAAATAAATAAATAAATCCACATCGGTCCGGCTCTCACCGATTCACCAAACAAAATGTGGAATTTGGGCGTGAAATAAAAGCATGTTGACTGTGGAGGTGGCTGCATGCAGCTTTTATTTGTTCATGACCTTCAAACTTGACCTTCCCATCATAAGAAAAACAGTACAAAATGCATGTAGTCGAACACTGAGGTGGCAAACTTGACACGCAGGCTGCTGACACGTAAACAACATGCATGTTCCTTTCATATCAGAAAGACGGCGTATCAAATGGCTGTTTCGACATTGGCTAACAGGGACACTTATTTATTCTTGGCAAGCTTGTATATATTAAAAAAAAACATGCTGTTTGTTTAAAATCCTTTGAACATGCCCTTGAAAGACTGTGGAGAGAAAGAGAAGCACACGTGATATGGATCACTGTGGAATGTTGGGAGGATTTCAATTCCTCAGGTCCCCAAACCTGTTAAAATGGACTCACGGATAAAGTTGCCCCCCGCCCCTCCCCTCCTCCAATACAAAAAAAAATTACAAAATAAAGAAAAAAAATTCACATGCATGCTTGCATGTTTGCTGTTGTTCGTATTTGCCTGCGAAGGAAACAAAATGTGTGAAATGTTTCACAAAGGACAATAGCAGTGATGAGCTAGGAGATTAAAGGGTCACGCCATAAAGATTCCATTGGTGCAAAAATAGTTATCTTTCACGTCTCCTCGCAAGACAAACAGAGAGGGGGGGGTGGTTCGTGTGCGCATCAAGTTATGCACACGCACACACACGCACACGCACGCACACAGAAAGCAATCAACGCTGACACTTAGGGCTTCACAATAAATAAACAAACCTTATGCCCTCAGTCGGAATTCAAGTTGAATAAAGAAATTTGAGAGGGCAAATTTAGTGAGCCACGATATGCTTCCAAAACTGCAAAGCCAAATTCGAATGCAAATACGAGAAGGATGTGTATCGTGACTTGTGGGACACCTTCTACTTTGCGGACACAGTTAATATCGTAGTTTTTCTGATGGTTACAATTTAAAGTCTAGAACCAGTTTGAGCCTGGAATGAAGGAATTCATTCATTTTTCCATTGGAAACAATGCTTAAATTACAACAATTTGGAAGTCAACCAGTAATATGGAACATAAGGTGCTTAACTTCAGAGTTCCAGTGGATATATTTTCGCCAATTCCTTTTTTAAATGTATTTTTAAAGACTGAGATGAGAAAAAAAAAAGATCTAAGAAAGCCGGCCAGGCTCTGATATTCCCTAAAAGGGATGAGAAATGGCACATAGTGTACAAAAAAGTATTTACAAATAAATAATGGCACAAACAGCAGATCATTCGAGGACACTTAAAACACTGAAATCATTGAATAATACTGTTGTTGTTCTTTTTTTCCTTAGCACAGCAAAAATTATGTTTAGAAACACTTCAAAAAACAAACACACACACACACACACACACACACACACACACACACACACACACACACACACACACACACACACACACACACACGATATGGCTGATAAGCGCCACTTAGTCTTTCTCTCAGATGTGTGCATTCTGATAGCCAGCGGGGGACGCTGAGAGAGTTCCGTAAACATTTCCAGTGCTTCAACATCGCTCTGGTCAGAAGTCCGATACAGCAGGTTGTTGCTGAGGCGACCAGTCACTCGCCATTGAATCAGAGTCCACCAACCTGCCATGACATCATGGCAACTATTGTCCACTTCTTTGACAGTCAATGGCGCCCCCTACAGAGCGGTGGCGTAAGATGCTTGTGCTCCTAAACGTGGTGTTGACTACAAAGCAAAGTAATCGTTGCAGTTCTAATAAAAAGATTAGTAGCAAATGCATGAGTGTTAAGATCGAGTGAATTCGGATGTCGGCTGCCCTGATGGGTGCCCCACCAACGCAAGGCACAAGGGCACAAAGCGTGCGTGTGCAGTTTAAATAAATATAATATACACTACTTACAGAAAGGTAGCGATATCGGGCTTTTGGGGGACATTTCAGGATGAGCCGAATATACCTTCTCAACCCGTGTACACAAAAAAATATAACTGTATTCACAGTCATATAGTCTTTATCCTCCGCGTGGAACCGCTGATATTACAGCCACACTGATGATTTGTCCATCTGTCTGTTTTATACAAAGTGGCCAATGGAAATTCAATTGGTGCAATGTGACAAAATCTTTTAACAGTTTTTTAAAATTGTATTTAATTATGTCATCACTGGATGTTTTGTTTTCAAGTAAAATATTTTTGGAGTCCCACGACCAGCTCTAAATTTTGCGAGTAGTGCATATTAAGAAGCATTTATGGGGGCTTTTTCATGACAGTTTCTCTGAGGTTTGAGTTGTTTTTAGAATAGCACGCTGGGCCAGATTAAATGCCGCACACAGCCCACGAGCCCTAAATTGCCCACCGCGGTTGTCCTCCAGTGTTAGTTGGCGATGTGAGGTGCGGTATCGACATCTCTGGATGTCGAGGCACGCTTCATGCATCCTCCCGCAAACGTATGCGGCGGCTCAGTGGAAGCAAGTAGCAAACGTCAGGCTGCCGTGCGTGCGTGTGCATGCGTGTGTGTGTGTGTGTGTGTGTGTGTGTGTGTGTGTGTGTGTGTGTGTGTGTGTGTGTGTGTGGCTCATAGGTGCGTCTCGTCTCTGGTTTCTGAGACAAAGTGCGTCTGGTTCCGAGTGCTCCGACTCTGGCCCATTTGGGATTCCTCGGGCATGTGCGCCAGCGGGTCGGAGCGGATGATGTATCTGAAAAACATGTCGCTCCACTCAGTTTGGGACGGGGTTCACAAACTTAGAAGAGAGTCCACTGAGCTGAGCTTGGGACTCAGAACCACAGCAGGATTGGGAGGCAAATGTGCTAATTATGTAGCCTGCGTGGATACGAAAATGTTGACACTTTGAATTACCCTGGGAATGCCAGCATTTCCAAAAAGTGAAAAATCAAGCCGCTGTACGTTGGTGTAAAAGCGAAAAGTACCGGCGGCTTTCTTACACGATGTCATTGAGCTCGAGCATGGTGTCCGGAGGCGGGTTGATGAGCACGTAGGAGAGCGTATTTTGGTGGTCGTTCATCTCATCTGCGGAGAAAAAGTCGGGACGGGTTTCAGGGTGGCTGGTTGGGGGAGGGGGGCGTTGCCCCGCCCTCTCCCAGCACAACAACGGTACTGCTCGTCACATGACGGAAGGAAAGAAATCAAAGCGCCAACATGGTGACTTGATGCGCTGCCATAAATGAACATAAATAAGGAGTATTATACAGGACATCAACTGAATGACAATGTCACAAATTATTTCTTTTCATTTCTATCAGGGCAAGAAAAAGCATGTATTAAAAAATAAGAAAGAAAATCATTGATATCACCTCATTAAATTCAATCACTAATTGATTAGATTTCCTGATAATGTATCATCAATTTGCGAAAAGGTTTATGGCATTGTATTGATTTAAAAAATTTTTTTTGATTTATCCTTATGCAGTACATGTGCATGCCGTTGCTCGATTGCTTTATCGGAGTGGAAGGAGCTAATTTGAATATTTTCAAGTGTGTTTTGCCATTTTTAACATGTCTGAAACAGGTTCGACGTGTCTCCACGACAACCCACCTGCTTGTGGCTCTTTACAAAGAACAAAGGGTGAATGGGGGGAGGCGGGAGAGAGAGAAGGGCCAAGCGTTACTGACAGGCACTGTGACACGGACGGGGGGCTGGAATCATCTCCATGGCATTCCACGCGAGATCTGACTCCATCCGGCGAGGCAGGAGGTTGCCATGCCGACACACACTCACGCGCACACATGTAGAGGACATGCTCCAGCATCCGTCAAGACTGAACCAAACGTTGGAGTGCGGATAAAATAAAATAAAAAAAAACAAAACAAAAAAAAAAACACAAAAAACCCCAAACAAGCTAGTGGAACAGAAGGCATCTGGAGTGCGAGGGCGGAAGACGTCATCTTGGACCTGAGTGCCAAACCTCACTGAGCCTTGATGGCCTCCACCTGCCACCGCACTAAATTGAGAGGTTTGGTATCGAACTTGTCCGGCTGAAATGGTCAACTTACAACAGGATTGATCTTGTTTTGAATATGGAGATGGTATGTGGCTTCTGGTTACAGTAAGCCAATTACGGCTAGCATCCAGTGAGTTGATGAAGTCAAGCTGAAGAATTTAAAAGTGCTCCTTGTATCCTTCTATTTTTTTGTACGTGGTGCTCAGAGGAAAAAGAAAAAATTCGACACTACATTATCAAGAGTCTCGGAATCAATTGTATGTGTTCCTGTGTGCATTTTGCATCATACTTGTGCGGAATTTCTACAAGCGCTCCAGCTTCCTCGCACTTTTCGCCGAAAACAGGCTCGAAATTGTCCATAAATGTGAGAGTGAGTGTGAATACTTGACTGACGACCAGTCAATGCATGTTTTGTGTGAGATCCAAGATGGGTTCTTCCATCCACAGGCAATCATGCGTTCTGCTCCAGAAAACAAGCCAAACGGGGGGCTCGATCTTATTCTTTTTAGTTTTTTTGGAATTGTATGTGTTCCTGTGTGCATTTTGCATCATACCGTACTTGTGCGGAATTTCTACAAGCGCTCCAGCTTCCTCGCACTTTTCGCCGAAAACAGGCTCGAAATTGTCCATAAATGTGAGAGTGAGTGTGAATACTTGACTGACGACCAGTCAATGCATGTTTTGTGTGAGATCCAAGATGGGTTCTTCCATCCACAGGCAATCATGCGTTCTGCTCCAGAAAACAAGCCAAACGGGGGACTCGATCTGATTCTTTTTAGTTTTTTTTAAGGGGGTCGCCATCTCACTCACGTGAGCACGATGCAGAGAAGGCCAGAGAGAGAAATCGACAGAGTGACAGGAAAGTGAGAAAACTGGCTGCTAAACTAACTATGAAGGGCAGTCAGGGACATAATTCAGGATTAGCTCTCAGACACACTACTGTGTATTATGACGGCATTTCATTCGGCTATGCGTGAGGTATTTCAGTAGTGAATGGGAGAGCATTTAAATTGTGTGTGAGAGTGAAAAAAAAAGTCCTGTCACGTAAGAGTATTTTTAGACCGCAGCTGAAGAAATTGTTTCTGTGTGTGTGTGTGTGTGTGTGTGTGTGTGTATGTGTTTTTTTTTGTGTGCGTGTGTGTGCGTGTGTGTGTGTGTGTGTGTGAAAGCGTTTCAGTCGTGTGTGTTCGTCAAATAAATTTCATCAGTGTGTGACTGTTTAAGTATGTGTGAGAGAGCATTCCCGTTGTATGTGAGAGAGCATTTTGGGTGTGTGTGTGAAAGTGTTTGAGTAAGATGTGTTAGTCAAATAAATTTCATCAGGGTGTGAGTGTTTCAGTATTTTTCAGCAATTTCTGTGAACAAATTCAGTCGTGTGTGTGTGAGAGAGCATTTAGTAGTGAGTGCGAGAGTGTTTCAGCGGTGCCCGTACCTCAAAGAACAAGATGTAAGCTAATGATGTTTACAAAAGACTGGTGCGGAATGTCCCAATTTACAAACAGCGTGATCCAATGAGTTAACCAATCGAGACTAGTCGCCTAATGGCAGCTATCAGTGACTAGTCGATGAGCAAAAGAGTTGTGTGTGGCAGCCCGAGTGTGAGAGCATTTAAAAAATGCGTTGAGAAGTTGTCGTCGTAGTGTGTGAGAGCGCTTCAATAGTTTGCCTGTGGATAAATTCAGTATAGCGTGAGAGCGCTTCGGCCGCGCGTCAAGAATGTTTCAGTAGTGCGCAAAAGAGCGCGTCAGAGGTGATCCTGAATGATATCCCAGATGACCTCTCATGTCTAACGCTCATCCACATTGGACACACACCCACTCTCACTCACACATGCAATACAATAGAGTGGATGGACCGGCTAACCTGACGGCCGGCTCCCGTCTGTATACGGCTGCTCTGATATGTCCTGCAACTCTGAGCAACGGTATTTACGGTTAACTCGACCACACAAGTGTCAACGTGAAGCACACACACATCTCGTAGAAAGGAGGATGCTGGTGAAAGGACGAGCTCCTTTCGCCCACACGCCCGCGCCTTCGACACTCACACGCCGCACCGCACCGAGTGGACAAAGAGCACACACGCACGCGCGTGCACACGTTACCTTGCAAATATCCTAGATTTACTCTGTTCATCACATCGCTCGCAGTGAGATTAGAAACATCCTCTACGAGCCAAAAGGGGGGGAAGAGAAAAGTCAGAGAGAGAAAAAGAGAGAAGGAGGAGGAAAGGAAATAGAAATAAAAATCAGGCAGGCCGCGAATGCATTTGCGCTTTGACCATAAGAAAGGTTCAACAGGTGAGAGGATGCAAAAAAAAAAAAAAAAAAGTGAGAAGAAGCCATGCTTCAGTATGCACAGAGTCACTTCCAAATGATTCATCTGTGGTGGATGCTCACTCAGAAGGTCAGGAGCGTTTGGGCGTCTCCCTGGAAGCAGCGTGAGCGACACAAGTACACAAGATTCAGCCAGCACAACACATCGGGATTAGGCTTCTTCTTCTTCTTTTTTTTTTTTAACTTCACTTTGTTTTGGAAGCGTGACACAACAAGTGAAAATGTGAGCAGATGCCAAGGCAAAGCAAACAGAGAAGCGTGATGCATTCACATGTTGCAGGGTTTCTACAGGTGTCGGCTGGGTATGGTCAATTGGAGATCTATTTTTTTTTAGGAGTTCTCAAATGTGCCACATCGTGGGCAAAAGCGACCAACTACTTTTGTTCATGATTATGTTGACCTATTTGCAATGAAAAGGTTATTAAAAAAGTTCATCATGAGGATTCACCCCACTCCCTGTTTCTGTTACCATTGATCGTCCACAGGTGTGGCTGTTATTTTTATTGATTGATTATTGATTGATTTTCATGACCGAAATGTGTTTTTATCGGCTTCTGTTGCAAATTATTGCATTTCTCTCCTAGCAAACACACCATTTTTTGCTACAGGGTTTTTTTTTTCATCCACTGCAAGAAATGTATGTGTTCAAGTTATTCAACAGCAAATATGTACAGCAAAGGTCAATATTTTGGCACGAAACCCAATGCTGGCCAAAAAGATGAACTAGAATTTTTTTTTCCATTAGCCATGGCTATGGCCTGGCTAACTGAAGCTCCTCCCGGCATTTCAACATAGTTTCTTGGCCCCAAGATGCCATCAGCGGCGCAAAAGAAATATTTATTTTAGACAAGGCTTTGGCCTGAGCATAAAAGCAGTGAAAAGGTTTTTTTTTTCTGGTAAATAACAAAGGAGAGGTTTCCCCAAAAATCTGTAAAAAGGCAAATTTTGCAAACGCTGAGTCAGGAAATTGCAGGATTTCACTGTTCAAAGTTTGCATTCAAATTTATCTAAAAATAATCCCAACAGCCCTAACCTTCATACCCTTCAATTTGATTGCAGTGCACCATCGAATTAGTTGGATTTAAAATCTTTAGCCTTAATCCTCAGATTTACTTCATGGACCAGTGGAAACCCGAAGTGGACATGATCTTGATGATGGGTGGCAGATGACTGCATATATGTTTTTTTTTTGTAGGAAAAAATGGTTGATGAAATTGATGCACGGTCTTAATGCTAGTGGAGTCTGACTGTGTGCCATGAAGACAGGCATGTCCCAAAAGGCCATGAGATGAGACAAACACAAACACAGATTGGAGTTCCACAAGAATACACAAAAATAAGACCATTGGTGTTGACGTTACTGTGGGTGGAGGCTATATTTAATCGTAACAACATAAAAAAAAAAAAAAAGTATGTTCCTGCTTTAAGGGGCTTTTTACAATCTCTCGCTCCCGATGTGGCAAATATAAATAGGCTCCTAACATTTTGCAATTTCCTTATTAATGGACAGATAGCCGCATTCAAGGCTTAGGACTTTTTTAAGGCCACTACTATTAAATTTAAGACCACTACCTCACTAAATTTGACCATGAAGAGTGGGCAGTGAGGCTCAAAGTTACGACAATATTTCGAGAAATGTTGCATTTATTTTGTATCGTGCTTGTTCTCTCATTTTATTATCCAAATTCATTTGAGAGAAAAACTTAATATAATACTTTAATAAAAAATAGTGTTATATTTATATTAATTCATATAATGTACAATATGTATAAGTACAGTATAATGGTAATTGTACAAGTACAGTAATCCCTCGTTTATCGCGGGGGTCACGTTCCAAAAAGAACTCGCGATAAGTGAAATCTGTGAAGTAGTCATCGTTATTTTTTTACAATTATTCTGTTTTGAATGAAACCAAAGATTGAACCTTTTTTTCAGGCCAAAGCATTTTAAAAAGTATCTATATTTTTTTTCTTACAAACAACTGACAGTTTTTAGAAATACTGTACAGAATGTTTTGTCAACATTGTGGCTTTTGTCATGGAGAAAATTTGGCAAGCTGTACATTGACGAGGCGCTGAGACTGTTGACATTAGTCTACAGTCCCTTAGCCAATCAGGATGCAGAAAACAATTCACTGTCAAAAAGAAAAAAAAAACTGCACGAAAAAAAATCCGTGAAACAGCACAGCCATGAAAGATGAACCGTGTTATAGCGAGGGATTACTGAAAACACCTCACCAAAAGTCCCCAGCCATTGTGAACCGCCCTATACATTTAATCTTATCACAACTAAATGCAAATGAAGGCTTTCGTTTTGTCAAATGAAATGACACTTTTTCAGGATCGGTGGATCCCTATTCACAGCCGATAATGACACAATCTCAAAAAAATGTCGTTCAATCAGAATTTTAAACTCCACCCCCTGAGATGAAAGTCAGTTTTCTTGTCTGAAACTCCAATCTGCAAAGAAAATCTATACTTTGTTTCCTGAACGAGAATCATGATGCAATGGTGAATCATTGGTGAACAAAAGCAACAAAGTGCACCAATGACTTCACGTTGACAGAATGAATGAGACCGTATGTGGTTCCGATAATGCGGGTGGTGGTTCTACTGACCGTATCCCACGGTGGGCAAGCCCAGGTGCTTCATGCGGTTTTTGACCAGCTCGGACAGCTCCTGGCGCTCGGAGCGGCGGTAAAGGTTGAGGCGCTGCTGCGAGATGCGCTCGGCCCGGCTGGAGGGCTTGTTGGTGTTCTTCCTGCTCAGGCGCCGCGCCCACTGCATGCTCTTCTTCCTCAGCAGCGGGTGCTCTGACTGTTCGCTGGCGCTGGAGTTCCGGTGCGCCGTCTTCTCCTTCCACGACTCCTTGCGGTCGCGATGCTGCTCGCCTTGCTCCACGTTTATGGACACCTGAGACTGGGATCGTTAAAAAAACGGTTAGAACGCCGTTTTGGCAACCGGGTGATGGCCATGACGCACGGGTGTTTGATGCCTGCTTTTGAGCAGAGTGGCGCATGCTGACAAGCTTACCTGCACGTAACTGCCCTTATGCTGAAATAAGAGAAGGACAAACACACATTCCAAAAAAAAAAAAAAAAAAAAGGAAAGACAGGTGCATAAAAAGCAAAGCAAAATGGTTAAAACAACAAAAAAAAAAAGTACCTGAGAAAAGTGATTACACAACTCACAAAAAGTTCAACATATTTAGAGATGGTTGCTCTTACATTCATTGTTGGAGAGCAAAAATGTTGTGCCAAAAGTAGAAAAACACTGAACGGCTAGACAGTCATGATTTCACAAACTTAGAGAAGGTCAAATTAAGGTTAAAGGTTACTCGCTAGAAAAGCACCAACCCCCCCCCCGAAAATGCTCATAAAACATCAACATCATGCTCCTAGCATGTCCACAATCACAGATGGCGCCAGAATTGCTTTAATTGCTTTGCCCTGAGTACAAGCACCGCGAATAGCCGAGACGTTCAGTGACTATCAAGCAAAAAACAAAAACAAATCTGCAAATTCACAAATGTTGAACGGCAGATTTTCAGAAGTTCACTGTCGTGCATCGTGAAATTTCCCGAACTTTTTGTGAGTAGCGTATGCTGTATTTATTGGCAAGCAATGTTTCCAAGAGAGAAATGAAGAGATTTTGCAAGGGATGATGGCCCAAAGCAAACGCGAGTCATCCGTCGTCAGATCGTAGCAAACTTGCCTCGGATGTGGAGAACATGTGCGACTCGGTGCGGTAGATCCCGATGGGGATCTCGGCGCTGGAGGAACACAGTTTTTGGAAGAGTCTGCCGTATGTTCTGATCCACAAGTCCTCCTCTGTGATCTTCATCTGAGGGGAATTTGGGAGAAAATGGGGGTTATAGCGCGCGGCAAACAGAAAAAAAATCTCTCCTTAGAAGCTTGTGTGATAGTCGCACTTACAACGCATAGATACCCGGAACCCGGTGTCGTGTCCAGACCAAGAAGAAGCCTGGCGATCGCTATCATGTAGTCTTTCACGAATGACTGTCAACACAGACGGAAAGGAATATTCGTCGATGTTGAAAGAGACAATAGTGGAGCGCAAATACATTCATCTACAGCGCGAACTCACATTTTAAGCTATGGACAATTCAATGAAGCTAATGCTACGTTTACGCAATGTGCCTGGTTACCACGGCAGCCACTTGGGATTTTTTTTTTTCTCTGTTATTAAGTCTTCCTTACAGTCAGTGCCGAAAACCGACTGAATCCCGGAGACTCAAAAACACGCTATGTTTCGGCAAACAGTCTACCACGTATGCTGGTGTGTTACACAAGCGTCCCATCACGTTTCTCCTGTTCTGATCAAGGTCTACCACATTTGTCAGATTTTGTCAAGGCTTTCTACTGAAATGCGGGACATTGGGACTGTGCGAATAATAATATTGTATTCAATATCTGCATGACAATGAGATACAGGTGAAATACAGACTGGACAGGTTGCGACATTAACGATGGCCTGATGGCCCGGGGCCACCGCGTCTGATTGTACATGCTTATTGTCCCACTACAGATCACTTCCAAGTTTTGTTATCCCGGGGGAAATCCCGAGAAAAGGTTTGTTGCATTAACCCCATTTAAATGGAGCCGAAAAAGTTTCTCATCCCCACCGAGACTGCCATGCCAATTTCTCAGACAATTAATTTTTTTTGAGCAGGCATCCACGGCAACTTGCTCACCACAATCCCACTATGATCTCTAGCGTGTCTCACACGAATGCTTTTAAAAAAGGAGACACTTGGCAGCAGGTAGCTGAGCACGCTTGGAACCTACTCCAATGGAACGGCGTCAAAAGCGCGTCGATCGGGTAACGTGCAGTGGAAAAGGGGCACAAGTCGCGTTGTTGTCCCACCTGGTAGAGCAGCGTATCCAGCATGCTGATACTGAACACCCGGCCCGCTGCAAATGGCAACCGGAACATGAAGGCCAGATTGGAGCCCTTATCTCGTTCTATCTGGAAGGAAAAAAAAAACATGGCTAAAATGAAATGAGGTTGAAATGTCTGGATTTGCGGCGCTCCTATTTTTGTTTGTCTTCCGCACCTTTTCGAGTTTAGAAAGCGCGAGCGAGTAGCAGTCCTTGGCTCTGAACTGCATGAACCTCATGTTGGATGGATGCGTGAGCTCAGTGATGATGCTGAGACTCGGGAACAGTCTGACAACATCGGATGACATAGATGAAGCCAGGTCGTGTGGACTTCAATGTTGATTGCGTTCTACTCTCTTTTCCCGCTACCTGAACATCGTCTGGACATTGACGATGGTCTTGGCGTCGGCCATGTAGTCCTCCTCGGCACTCATGGTGCTCTCCTTGTCCACGACCACCAAATTGTCAGCGTAGATGATTCCACACTGCAGCAGGTTGTCTAAGCTGATCCATTAAAAAAAAAAAAAAACAAAAAAAAAAAAAACACACACAACAAAAACCAATCAAAACTTATTTTCCACAACATTTTATTTTATTTAAAAACAATTTTACAAAAGTAAAGTTGTAGTTGCCCAAGAGAATCTTTCAAGTTTACAGGATTCTCATCATTTTATGACTACATTTTCATCCACTTATGTCTTACTTTTCTCGTAAAAAATGGTTTGACTTCATTTTGAATGGTACGTATCATTGTGGAGAACGAGGGAACTGCAGTTCACAATGAAACAAATGATCTCTTCTTGAATGTTTAATTACAAATTCATATTTCATTTATTTATTGACCATTTTATTGGGATGATTATTTTTGTGTTACCATGACTATTTTTCGTCTCACTTTTTTATGTCCAATGGGCAGCACTTTGATCCAGCTTAATTTGACGTGACGTGAGGGGTGAAATAGTAAAAGAAGAGTTGCTGTAAAAAGTTAGCAGTGACATATCCCGAAAATGTTTGAATGTTGGCGTTCATGAGTAAATGGGTTCATAGATGGTCAACAATGAGCCTGAGGTCAGGATGGACATTTTGCATCATAAGGACCCTGAAATTCAGCATGTTTTCACCGACATTGTCGTGACTGTGACTCCACCACATACTTATCGATGGTGCCGGCCATGAAGTAGACCATCGGGAAGCAGCAAATGGCCTCTAAGAAGTGGTTGTCTGGGCTGAGGTAAACAGGAAACATCACCGGTTAGCAAGCCGCATGAATCCTGGATCACTTTTGGAGAAACCCGGAGACATTTTGAGAGGAACTTCCTGAAGTATTCAAACTGTGATCGCTCCCTTGTTGGCACCCTATTCATGTATTTTATTTTTCCAGTTAACTCCCGTTATTCACGGGGAATCGGGCAGAATAGCAAAAATCTGCTTTTGATTGCCTATGAAAGCCAAAAGATGGAGGCAAAGCACTACATTTGTCTATATGTAGCCCCTTAACTTCACGACTTAGTTCCTGGGCACCAAGGTGCCATCAAAGCACTACGTTTATCTAAATGAAACACCTCAATTGACTGTGACATAGTTCCTGGCCAACAAGATGCCACAAGATGGTGACAAAGCACTACATTTGTCTAAATGAAGCTCCTCAACTCACATCATAGTTTTTTTTTTTAGACACCAGGATGCTATCAAAGCACTATGTCTGAATGAAGCACCTCAATTCACTGCGACATAGTCCCTGGGCAACAAGATACCACAAGATGGTGACAAAGCACTACATTTCTCTCAATGAAGCTCCTCAACTCACATCAAGATAGTTCTTTGGCACCAAGATTTCAGAAAAGCGCTATTTAAGAGGAGAGGTACACCCTGAAACGAATGTTTGCCATTGGCATCAAGAGAGAAACACTCAGACTTACATTCGGAGCTCTGGAGAGCAACACAACTTACGGGTAGTCCAGCAGAAGCACAATGGGGTTGAGCTCCTTCCGGGGTCGGTAGTACGCTCGGAGGGGGACGATGAAGTTGTACAAACCGTTGCCCGCCGTCTCAGCAGACACGATAATCAGCTTGTTCTTGAAGCCGTACGCTTTGGCATCTTCGAAGCTGTTGTGCGTACAGCCCTGCGAGGCGTCATCACATGTGAAGTGGAAGTTGTACTCGCGTTGATCTTCGTGCGTGTGCGTGACAAGTCACTCACCTTGTCAAGGCGCAGGCAGCAAAATGGCGCCTTCTGCGGAAGGAGGTGGCACAGTGTCGGCGAGCTGCCGATGTAGGGAGAGTTGGGAGGGTAGCCCTTCACGAAACTGCCGAGACGGGAAGCAAGATGATGAAATGATGTGACAGTAGATCAAGTCGAATGCCCTCAAAGTGGTGCAAATTTGGATCTCAACCAAAATGCTGTGGATCAAATATGCCTCAACAGTCGTGCAAAACTCAGTGAGCATTTTTCTTTCCGGCACAGCCAAGAAGAGAAGTGTTTCAATATTTTTCCACTGCACTGAAGATTCCACTGCAATAAAAAATTGTGTATACGTAATCGTTCACATAATGTCCTGTCGCATAGGGAGACTTAATCGTCTCCCTGATCAACGCACGATGGCACTGTGGTGCTTTCAGGCATGAGCATCCAGAGAACTCATAAAGATGAATTACTATCCAGGCACCGAGAAAATAAACAAGCAAGGAAATCCATTTACCATACTTAGACAAATAAATGTAATGAGGCAATGTGGTTTATATTCTTTGCGGAACATTTAGTTTGATATATGGCCAGGCAGACGAATTCAACGATGCTGTCGGCGTGGAATATACGTGAACAAAATAAGAAAACAAGTTTTTGCGAAGAGACATATTTTATGCACAACCCCGATGCCTCAAACATCTGAACAGTCCTTATCTTCTATAAAATACGAACAGCATGAAAATGTGCTTTGGAAATCATGTACAGTTTATACAAATATCACCAGAGTAACAGTTTTACATTTGACAAACTTTACAAATTATTTGCACGCTATTTATTAGTGGTAGTATTTAGTAGTGTGTGTGCATGCATCATACCATGCTCTCGATCAATCAATTTCCAGAGGTCTGCATTGCTAACAAGCGTCAAGCACTAATGTGTCCACTGGAACTACTGAATCTATATGACGGTTTTTAGCTTGAGTGATCGCGGCAATGATGAGCGTGGAGAGTGGCGGTCTTTCTAACCTGCTGAACTCTGCTACTGTCTAAGTGTTTGCCCGACTGATAAACGATCATTGAGATGGAAAGTCTACCCTGTGTGTGCTAAGCTTGTGGATGAGCTGCAACGCATGATAGGAAGTTCTGCCCTTCCTTTCACGGCACGTGTTCATCATTGTCAGGGTCGAAGCCTTTCATCACCATGACACACCGATTACACGCCAAGCTCATCTATCTCACCTTACAGGTCCCCGTGACACCTGAAGAGGTGGAGGACATCAATCCTTTAGCGTGTCTATTATGCTAGGCTGAGGCTATAGGGACTATATGAGCAGATGTAGTGGGTCTGCATCACAGAAGCGGAATTTATGACCAACCGCGCCGCTTACTCTGACCCGACGGAGCCCTCCTCATCCGATTGGTTGGTCTCGTCTTCCGACTGGTCGCTGAGGAGGTCGCACGGCAGAATGGCGGAGGAGTCCGCGATCTCGAGGACCGGCGCGATGCTTGGCCTGCGGCTACCGGCGCCGTTCTCCGTCGGTAAGGTCAGCTTACTGGTTTCTTCGGGGGGATCCGGGTTCTGCAGGTCAATGGCCACGGTGCCTGGACGCAACACGCACATCACTAACGACTTAGTCACATCACGACGTGCGCTTGACTGGCTGTCAACATCAATTAACACACAGCCATTTAATCTCTTGTGAACATTGTCAACTGTAATCCTCTTGCAACATACTCAGGAGCGGTGATGCATGCAGAATATAATGACTCGTATTTGTTAACAAATACTGTGATGCTGAGGAGCTACCGTTGGGTCTGTCCCATGCAATGAAAAAATGGCACTAATACATTTATGGATTGCAAACTGCACTACAGCTGTAGGAGGTGATGTGTTCTGCACAAACTTACCATATGAA